CCAGGCACTGTCAGGCCCTTGTGAGTCCGCCCGAGTCCTGGAGGGAGCATGCAGCAGGGAAGCCCCCAGGAGCCCTGTCCATGGAGACAGCCATGATTCGAAGCCTGGCCATTGGGTGCTGTGCAGAAAAGTGCAGACCAGGTGAGGGAAGTTTTGACATCCAGGATGAGGGCATCCAGGGTGTTAAGGCACAGAGCAAAACAGAGCTTGCTCGTTCCAGAAGCAACGGGACATTCACAGTGACCGGAGTTTAGTGACTGTGGGGAGGGGGTGGGAAATGGGTCAAGGGGCCACCAGGGCCAGAATGCCCTGCAGTCACAGCAGACAAGGGAAGGGAAGCCCTTATCGGGTTTTGAACAAAAGAGTCTGATCCTATCCACACCAGGGAGAGTGGAGGGTGGAGGGGTGGAGGGAATGCTGGCACAGCCGATGGTGGTTGGACCAACGTGGCAGGAGTGAGGTGGGTGAGGTGGTCGCATGGGTTCATGCTGGCAGCTGGGGGACCAGAGGTAGCACACGAGAGAAAGGACTCACAGGTTGTGCCTAGGCCCTGGCCTGAGCAGCTAAGTGAACGGAGGCACCGCTTCCAAAGCGGGGACAAACAGAGACAGATTGTGGGGGAGGGGAATGACAAGGGTCCAGTCTGGGCCCAGCAACTCGGAGGTCCTGCTGCCCTGTCCAGAGGTGCGCAGCAGTGCTGACGACACCCCGTCCTTCAACGGATACCCACAGACTGCAGCGGTTCACCAGCAGGCAGGTGGGCACAAGGACAACTACAGGAGCTCAGAGCCCCTCGCCCAGGCCAGGAGGTGGACTCAGCTGCCTGCGTGACGTGATTGGAGAGCTTCTCTAACCCCCTTGGCAGGTCAAGGGCAGGCCTCCACATGCAGTCCCTTGAGGAGACGCCTGTGGCTGTAGCCATGGCATCCCAGCCAGCCTGGACACAGCCGCAAACCGACACCGGTCACGGACACACAGCCGCACGCCGACGCCGGTCACGGACACACAGACGCACGCCGACGCCGGTCACGGACACACAGACGCACGCCGACGCCGGTCACGGACACACAGACGCACGCCGACGCCGGTCACGGACACAGAGACGCACGCCGACGCCGGTCACGGACACACAGCCGCACGCCGACGCCGGTCACGGACACACAGCCGCACGCCGACGCCGGTCACGGACACACAGAC